AGTACTGGCTCTTTCTCTTACAAATTTTAAGAAGGATCCTGCTTACCTGTGGATCCCAGGTTTCACTACAGACAGACCTACAAGAGGAAAGGCTGATTTGCACGTTTCCAGAATTGTGATTTTTTTTATGCTCTCTATTTACTACATAAAGCCTCATTGAGGGTTAAGGTTGAACTTTGGAACTCCACTGAGGGCCTCCCTTCGTGAAAGACAGTGAGATAGATGTGTGTCTGTGCCTCACCCACTCACAGCACCTGAATCTATTTAGGGCAGCTTATGAAGAAACAGTATTTGGGGGCCAGGTTAAGGGACAATGAGTTACAAGTTTTGTGAGCGAAACACCCGTTGGTTTCCTGAAGACTTCAGGTGTACCTAATGTTTCATTGTAGTGCGTTACACAGGGGTGTTTCATTGCAAAGGACCTGGAAAGTTGTACCTCTGGATTCAGCTGATAAAACGGCTGTGCGAATGAAAGCTGGGCTGCCACCGACAACTGTCTGCTGGAAATGCTGCCGGGCCCTAATTAGAATATCCCCGTGGAGCAGGTAACCAGCGTGATGAAAGTGATAAGGGGCGCTGCTTTCACCGGAGGCCTCACGGGGTTCCGATTGTGTTGCCCGGTTTTGCACTCAGGAAGACGCTGCGGGAATGCGGATGGGCAGCGGGGTTGGAAGCGCCCCTGCGGCCCCAATACCCGTCGATTCAGCTACCGGACCCGTGCTCGCTCCGGCGCGGGGCGCGGGCGGGAGTTGCAGCCCGGGCCTGCCCGCGGCTGGGAAAGGAGCGGGGACGCGGCGGCGCGGCGCTAGCAGACGGCATGGCCTGGACAGACGCCCAGCTCGACCACGACGCTGAGACCCGAAGGGCAGGCCACCGGGCCGGGGTGGTGTTCTGGGTGTGAAGACGCGGACCCGGGAACCTGAGGGCCGGCACGTGCAGGGCCCCGCGCTCAGACTAAACTACCCAGCCCCACAGCCTAGGAGAAACTGGGATTACAGTGAACTTGTCTTTGCAAAGATAAAAGTTTTTGTTTGGGTTTTTTCATTGCATCTCTGGGGGCGACTCTAAAGAGAGGGCCACGTGAGGCTTCTTGTGTGAAAGTGCCGTTTCCAACATAAGTCCCCACAAGAATTCTCCAACTTGGTAAATGTTGCTCCTTTGGTTCTGATGACTTTCAAGTGGGGGCGGGTACTATAGCATCACCTGGTCAGTGTCTCCAGGAAGCTATCAATGCCTTCTTTTGCATAAGGTTGGAGCAAGGTCACATTTATAGTTGAGACAGGAAGGACCCACCTCCAGGCAGGTTGCTAATAGGAGAGGGATTAGGTTTAAAATAGGGTCTGGAATTCATTGTGCCATGGGTTTAGGCCCCAGGGAAATTACAAAAGGTTCAGGGACAGTTGAGTGGGGAAAGGCCATGACTGCTTTCAGGAAGGAATAATCTTTATCCCTCCATTTACCTGTGAGACCAGGCTTCAGCAGGCATGCACTATTAGTGCAGTTTCTCCCCCCACCCCCCGTATATTCAAGCTGCTGGGACTCAAGCATCAACTATAGTTTTTTAATTTTTTATTTTTTTCCCCAAAAGCATAAAAAGTTAAGGGGCATGCCAGCAAATCTTACACGTAATGTTGCAGTGGTGGAAGGGACTGAAGAAGTGTGGAGTTGTAAGAAAAGGAAACGATCGAGAGAAGTTCTCATTTCATTCAGATGTAGAAAAAACTGGTGTTTTCCTCAGAAATATCTTTGAAGTGAAGAAAAACCAACAAAAAGTTTTTCCTGATAGTTATGTTCTAAATAAATTGTACTTTTTTGTTTTGGAAATCTCAGGTTTTAAAAGTAGTACTATGGGCGACTGCCCTGATTATGTATGTTTTAGGATTGCATCAGGAGTTTTTACTGGTCACTTCTATACCTCAGACTTTTTTGTATCAACTCAGGACTGAGTTTCACAATTTAGCTTTATATTCTGTGAAGAAACCACCACCACAGCTAGAAGCAGACTCTTTTTCGCTCACTAACTCTTGGTGCACAGTGTTGATGAGGTGTGAGAGTCTAGAATGTTAAAACTTTCTCCTTTGTAACTGACAGGGACAAAGTTGTGTTTTTATCAGTAAAATAAGCTGATATAATTTATAGGGATATACAGGAAGCAGATGTCTGCCTTGGCAAGTTGCCATTTTTTATAGCCCTGTTCCAAGCACAAGCCAAAACTTTTAAATAATTAGTTACTTACTAATGAGATCCAAAAATAAGTTGTCAAAATAGGAGAAGGAGGTAGACTCTTAAGTGACCAAGGGCCTATTTTTTTAAAAATCCATTTCAAATGAGGGGGGCGTAGGAATTAGTATTCTCTACTACCATTAATTAGTGCATTGGTGCGATTTCAGTCAGTGCCTGGGGCTTTCCCTCTACTCACTTAAGCCTTTCACTGTGGTGATGAGTATTTGGAGAGTTTATTGCTTTGTTAAAAAGAAGCCCTTTGCTTGGGGGAAAAATCAACAACTCCACAAAAACTAAGTTTGTCAAGGAACTTTGGTGACTTGTCTCCTTACTACTGTTAATTAGCTCTGTCTTACTAAGGAAGACACTGACTTCTTCCCAGGAATCTCATCTCTTCCTGAGTTTTTCTGGTCCCTTGGCTTGTTTTAACTTAGTAAACTCCATTCAAATTCAACCAGTAAAACTATGTGTTTTGAGGGAAACAATGATAGTAAATGCCTGTTTATCCCAAATGGTTGTGAATGGAGTATTTTGATTAATTAAATATTCCTGTTAATTTTGTTTGTTTTTATGTAATTTGCCAGCTTTCAAAGAAACACTGGATATAAAAGATATGTAGCTAAACCAATGGTGATTAAGATTCAAGACGTTGTAGAACCATCTGGGTCATGGGCTCTTCAATGGATCCTTTTTTTACTCAGTACACAAGGGTATGAGGTGCTGGGAAGCCAAGAGCTTCTCCTCATGGAGCTTACTTACTGTCTGGAGAGGGGATGGACTTGCAGCAAAGATTCCAAACGTGGTGAGTGCTGGGCTAGGCTCATGCAGGCTGTTGGAATTCAGTTGGGTTGCAGTTCATTCATTAGTTCATCCAGTCAGAGAAGACTTAAGTGGGTACCTACTGCACTACGTTCATTGCAGTGAACAAAAACGTGCAGAGCAGGTGTCTGCAAGCTTTAGTGAGCCTTGTAATCACTAGCACTGATTACAGTACAGGTTCCCTGGTGCCACCCTCTTACAACATCAGGGCTTGGACCCAGAGATCTGATGTTTCACAGGCACTGTAGCCAACTCATTCGGGTGGCTCCTGTACCACATAGAAACAGCCCTTTGCGTGGGGATGAATTGTTCTTGTGGGATACTGTAAAGATGGTATTTCAATCAATTTGGGAGGAGCGTTCAGAAAAATTAAAGAGTCATTCTGAGATTGAGATTGTTAGAGCTAGAAGGAGCCGCTGAAAATTTTTCCTTCAAGGGTTCTGTATCTGGATTCATGGAAAGCTTGGAGGGCCAGTGTTCCCTCTAAAATTAAATGTACACTTTTCAGTTTAAGGGTATTTTTCTGGGGAGAGGATCCTTTAACTTCTAACATATTCTTAAAGATGACTGTATTCCCTCCCTCCAAGGTTAAGTCCCCCTGTGTACTTCTGTTACGTGACAGATCAGAAATCTAAGGCACTGAGGTGCTTCTTGTTTTCCTTTTTATTCCAGAAAAGCTGTTCTTAAATAACTTGTGCATTTTACAGTGAATGACATTGGATCATCAAGGAAAACAAATGGGAGTTAGTGGAAAAGCTGGTGTTACAGTGACACATGGCCTCTGGGTCTTAAGCATTTCTAGTTACTTGAATTTCAGATTTCTTGTACAAGAAAGAAAGAATTTGCAGCTCCCTTGTAAATTTGAGTTAAGGATGACTAAAAATATTTTATCTGGTATTTTAACTCTTTTACTCTCTTGTTTTATTTCACTAATCATTGTTTTGATTGAACACGGTGGTGGTGTCTGCTAAACGTAGAAAAGGAACAGATGACTTGACTGAAGAAATGCTCACCATGAGTGCTGCAGTCTAGATAGCTTGAAGACAACATTCCAGAGAGGGCACTTGTCATCCTTTCTTGTGTTCTTTGTAGGTGTAGATCATGCCTGCAAAAAAAGAACATGAACCAAATTGAGTGAAAATTGGTGAATGATGAGTTAGGGCACTTATCACGTGGATGAAGCCTGTGAAGGACTGACTAGCTAAATTTGCCTTTCGCTCAGTTTTAATATTTTTTTAGTGGTTCCAGTCTTTGATTTTTTTCTGTGGGATCGAGACTGTGTTGTTTTATTACCTTTGTTTTAAAAATGTAACTCAAGTGACTTCAAATGTTCTCATGTTTTAAGAAAGCTTAAAAAGTATGGTTTAGCTGAATGAATTAGGATTAAGAGGCATATTGCAATTCAGTAATCTTAAGTGAGGGAAAGCAGAAATCACTGGCTTTGGCCCAAATTATCCTCTGATTCAGAACTTTGTGGGGCTTGGATTTGAGAAATCGTTGCATACTCTTTAAAACATCTAATTAATTAAAAACTTTCCCCTGCTTGGAAAGTTGACCTAATGCCTCTTCCTATAAAGTTGGCCACCTGAAGACACATTTTGTAGATGTGGCTTGAAAGAATAATGTGAGTGACACTTGGGTTTCACTCTATAAACAGCTGAAAATTGAGATATTTAAACTATTTAATAACAAATGCCCAGTAGTAATTATAATTAGGAAAAGTCCCATGTTACAGATCTTGCCCTCTGTTTTCCTTTTGCATGTGCAGACGGAATTTGACTGGCATGTTAATAGAACTTTGAGGCGTTTTTGCAAGAAAACATGAAGGGAAGTCGCTTCCAGATTTTGAATTTGCTAAAGCTATAGGCACCTCCTCAGGTGACAGGTGAAGTGGGCTTTTAAGTGGCATGTTTTTCCACTCTTACTTGAAGTTGATGATTTGCTGTTGTTTTATGTAGGTGTTCCTGGTAGCAGAGAGTTGAAGTAATGAGAAGCCATCATGGAGGCCCAGTCCCACAGCTCCACAACCACTGAGAAGAAAAAAGTTGAGAATTCTGTAGTGAAATGCTCCACTCGAACAGATGTCAGCGAGAAAGCTGTGGCCTCCAGCACCACTTCCAATGGTGAGCAGCAACGGGGACCAGGAGCCAAGTCCACAGTCATTTTAATGTTCTCTGCATTCCTTGTGAATTGAGCATTTGCACCTGGACCAGTGTTTGCTCTATGAGAGGCTAAAGAAAGTAAATGGGGGTGGAGAGTGGGGGGTACAGGATAGGCAGGCTTTTGTGATCTATATTTTGGCACCAAAATAACACGTTTTCTTTAAAATTTTCTAATTTGAGATGTAAATGTGATAGGTTATTTAATATAGAACGTTCCCGTTTTGGCATTTTGGAAATCATTTTGATTAGCCTGGCAGGAGTCCAGAATACTTTGCCTTTCACGTGGAAAGGGTACACTGGTCGAAATAATTAGTTATTACTACAAAACACACAGAAGTTGTTTTGTCAAAATTAGTGACAGGATCCCTCCACCTCCACTCTAAGGGGTCTACTTTAAAGGATTTTAGAAGTTGTTGATGGTTGAGCCTCAAGGTAACACAAGTATCTGAGATACAGGTTTTGCTCTTGGCTTATAAAAATTTACCTAATTGTGTTCAGAGATAACGTAGAGCCACTGTTTTTATATGCTATATTAATATTTTAAGTCAAGTGTTGAGAGGCATTTCAGTTCAGGCATGAGCCCTGAAAGTGAATTCCAGAGCCCTTCTGGAAACAACAGATTGAAGAGATCGGTGGTAACCTTCACCTCCTTCCCCGCGTCCCTACTCCTGTAGGTAGGCCCTTCCTGCCGTTGCTGTTTGTAGAGTCCTTAGCCGCCCTGGCCTCCCTGAATTGCACCCCACTTCTCCACATGCCCTGGCTGGCTGGCTGCCCACTCCCAGACACGGCATATCTGGGCACACTTGATTGGCATGAGCCAATCTGCTACACTACCTGTGGGGCTTATATCTTATTTATTCCAAGAAAGATTTTACTAGGCTGATTACAATTTTGTGCATACCACTGGAGAGTCAGAATCTGCTTTGGACGGTAACTGCAGCCCAAAACTGAGGCTCTAAGGGCCGAAATCCAGTAAAACAGCTGCACCTTCCTGTCCTGGCTGTGGCACTGCCTGAGCTAGCGCTCTGAGGAGCCTGGCCTGCTCGCTCTGCTCGTCCTGGCTGTGGCAAGGTGCCTTCCTTCCTGGATGTCACCAGTAGGCATTGCTGGCTTGACTGGGTGGGGTGGGGCAGGGAGACTGGCTAGTGTTAAACCTGCTGGCTAATGAGTCCCGTTTTGGGTTGATCCTTAGGGAGATATGTTTATGTCTGTGTTTAAATAATGAACTTACTTTACATACATCTGAAAATGTATCTATATTTCTTTCTTTGTTTGTGGTGTTTCAAGTCAGGACTGGAGTCTGTTGTAATTGAGCCCCATATTTGTATTCCTCCAATGTGGTTATAGAAGGCATCATTTCTCCTTTAAAAAAAATAGAAGTCATGTGACCCTTGTTTATTTTTCCAGGAATTTGAAAAAAATTGGACCGATTTGTTATTTCAGAAGTAGGATCAGTCCAAGCAGTGTTGGTTATCTGGTAATTTCAATAGTAATTTTGTAGGAATAAGCACTTTCTGTGTATTATGCTTAATGAAACATCAATTTTTGTTATCTTGATAGCTTGCATATGCGAGTGTGTGTGTGAGGACTGGCAAGAACGATTGTGAGTGGGTGGCAGGTGGTGCTGCGCTGTGGGGAGCCTTCCTGTCAGCAGGTAACACTAGTCAGTCCTCAGGGAGGTGCTGCTTCTGCTCCCGCCCCCGACCCCGCCCCCGCCCCACGCAGACACATGCCCCGGAGGGTTCCAGGTGGCTGCCTTGGTCTTCTGCCGTTCTCTTACCACGGGTTGCCCTTGCGGACCCATTTAGGCTGACTAGGAACTGAAATAACCTAATGTGGCGGCTGGCGAACCCCTCAAGCACGTTAGCTTCAGAAGGAGCAGCGTGATGGACAAAGCTAGTCCTATAGTCTGAAGTAACCACAGAACTGATTCCTAAACCAAACTAGCTGGTTTACCGCCCTGCTCAGCCTGTGCTCTCCTAAGTGGGTGGAAAAACCCATTCCTTTGGGGACAAAGTCTCATGAGTCAGATTTGCAGGGCACATGCATGCATGATAGCTGTCCCCTGTCCTAGAATTCCTGGGTACTCTGGCCATTTTTCCAGAGTTCCTCTTTCTTCTAAGGAATTGACTGCTTTTCATTTGGGGATAACATAAAGACCCAATCAAATGAAAGAACAATGGAAGTGGTGTTTTTAAACATGGTTGCAACCCTACTGGAAGATTCCAGGAAAACCAGCAAACAAATTGACAGGAAAGGTAAAACAAAGGAAAATCAATCTTTTTTTCTTTCTTTCCCTTTCTTTCTTTTTTTCTTCCTTCCTTCCTTCCTTCCTTCCTTCCTTCCTTCCTTCCTTCCTTCCTTCCTTCCTTCTTTTCTCTCTCTCTTTCTCTCTTTCTGTCTGTCTTTCTTTTTAAAGATTTTTATTGGGGAATTGGGGAAGGGGAACAGTATTGGGGAGTTGGGGAAGGGGAACAGCCAAGTTGTCCTTCAGTCTTAGTTGTGGAGGGCGCAGCTAGCTCAGCTCCAAGTCTAGTTGCCATCTGGCTGCCTATGGCAGCTCTCGGCTGCTCAGCTCAAGGTGCTGTGTTCCATCTTAGTTGCCAGTGGTATAGCCCACTGTCCCATGCTGGAGTTGAACCAGCAACCTTTGTTGTTAGGAGCACGTGCTCTCACCAGCTGATCTGGCAGCTTAGCTGGCGGCTAAGCTTGAGCACAGCTTACTGGCCCATGTGGGAATCGAACTGGCAACCCTTGTTGCTCAGAGCTTGCGCTGTTAATCAACTGAGTCACTTGGCTGGCCCCCAATAAAGCTCTTCCTTGGTGATTGCTTTACGTAAACAATGCTAGTAACTGTAACGCCTTTTAAACAGTTCCCTGCAGGTGTCATGTAACTACTGTAGTTCAGAGTCTCTACAGCTCCAGCATCATGATCAGGGCATGGAATGGTCCACCTCTTCTTTGTTCTGCCAGTGCCTACCTGGTCACACATCCTCCTCTGCACTCACATGGTCACACAGATCATCTGTGGCCCATGTGGGTTTTAGAGCTCATGGGTGGGGGCTCAAAGTTTGGCACACTGTGCTGGCTGGGGGCTGCCACTGCCGTGGTCCATCCATGTGTCTCCCTTTCTCTTTTTTCTACAAACATTACAGAAGTGCTTGGACACCTGCACTGAGGCTATTCACCAATAGGAAATTAAAATCATTTTGAACCTATAGTAGGTAGTACTGGTTGCTACTCTTTCCAGGGGGCTCTATGCTTCCTTTACAAAGCTCTGAAATTCAGGGATTTGTAAATGAACAATTAAAAATGAGTTCAGCACCAAGAACTAAACAGATGTAATACAGGCATTATCTCTCCCATCCAAAATTTCATGGTTAAAATAAAACAAAAAAAAGTTTTGTTACTGGCACTGTGTTAGGTTGGCTTAATTATCTTTTCCAGCCATGATGTGCTGCACTTTGTTCCTGACGGTGAGCCTTCCAGCCAAGCCCTGCACATTCCACTGCATGTCCTTACAGATCTCTTTCCTTGCTTTTCTCAGCTGAGTATTTACTCCTAGAATAACATTCATATAGAGTTTTGTCTGAACACACATACACACAACCAAAATGTATGGTTCCAAAACCTTGAACAGCCTTTGAAGGAAGCATTTGCCTCTTAACACTGATATTTAAAATAATACAAATGAAAATCTGTGTTCTAAATCTTGCATGGCAAAAAAGACAAGGCAAATTGGAGTTTTGTAACATTTAAGAACCTGTATCGACGTAGAAAGCATGCCGTACTCTTTTATTCAGGAACTGTAATGTGTGTGTCATATGCCATCGTTAGGTTTTAAGATTTAGTGTTATTTATTAAGCATAAATGACAAAAGATAAGACATTTTAGTTTTCTGAATGTCTAAGTGTGATTGTGATTGGTTATTTTGGAATCTAACGTGTCTTCCACAGATAAAGTATACACTCAGATATTAAGTGTCATTGTTTACTTAATAATTTGTAAATCTGGTAATATACTAATACTGTAAGTAAAATGCCTTAATCTGTTTCTGGTACAGATTTTTAAGCTACATGTGCTTTGTAAATAATAAAAGTTTTTTAATCTAGGTCTTCCAGTGTTTAAAACATTCTCGTCCTATAAAATTTCCTTCAATGACTTACAAATACTGACTTTTCAGTTTGAAGTGGTTTGTTTCATTTTTTGGCCTATGATTTTTTAAGGAGAAATCTGATATTTTTTATTAACCTACTACTCTGCTTTAAAAAAGAAATGAACTAATAATAAATGTATGTAGGCTGTGGTCTTGGGATCTTTTAGTGTATCTGATAATTATTGGGAATATACCTTAAAGTGTTAGAAAGCTGAAATGATTATGCTAATGGCGAGGTAGTAGTATCCAAATTTGATAGATTAATATAGGAGAGGAGGTTCCCTGATCACTTTAATTCTTTCAAAAAGAAGGGCTTGGTTCTCCTCTACTTAAAAAACATTCTTTGAGATCTTTAAGGGGAAAATGGTGTGCATGGATGGTCTGCAAATACGTAAGGAGATACTTTTGCGTCCTTGAACTTTTGGTTACTTCTTGGCCTTGCGATTTGTCTTTAGACTGTCCGGTATGTAGGTGTTAATTGTGATACCTGTAAGATGGCTTCGTTGGTGCAGATCACACCATAGGGGCAGTAGGTTGTGAGTTTTTGGTTTCTCATCCCTTTGGATGTTCAGCAGCTTTGTTCTTGGCCACATCCCATTTCCTGGCACATGACAGTTGGATGAAAAGGCCTGTCAGATAAAATAGATTTACCTTGTAGGGTGGTGATTAGGAGCACCCAGGGGCTTTGGGACCTGAAAGTTTGGGTTGAGTTCCAGCACCACCAAGTATGGGCAGATTAGCTTCTCACAGTCTGTTTCTTCATCTGTTTACCAAGATAATAACTAGATCCACTTGGCAGGATCTC